CAGATAATTGAGATGTAATTCCACATTTTGATAAATAACTAATGAAATCCGCAGAGAGGTACTCCCCACGACGATCAGATCGTAGTGTGTTGATATATTTATTATGTCGCTTTTCAGTCTTAGTCTTAAATTCTTTGAACTTTTCAAAACATTCAGACTTTCGACGCAACAAATAAATATATCCATAGTTTGAGTAATCATCTGTGAAAGTCACAAAATAATCAAAAACCACCTCTTGCTTGGACATTCATTGGACCACACAAATCAGAATGAATTAACTCTAATTTATCACTTGCTCGATTTCCTTTTGAGGGAAAATTTTGTTTTGTCATTTTTCCTTCTAAACAAGATTCACAAGTTGGTAGTGCCTCCACTTTCAATGAACTTAAAGGTCCATCCTTGACCAACCTTGAAATTCTGTTTAGATTTATATGACCCAAACGCAAGTGCCATAAATATGTTTTACTCAATTCAAAAGAACGTTTTCTCTTATTTGGTAAATCAACATAATTCAGTTCTTTAGGTTGTAACGGTTTAGGAATAGAGTCAACAATAAAAAGATCATCAATCAATGTTGCCGAAGAGAGATAACATTTATCATGAGTAACAACACATTTATCAATGTTATGAAAATTAATGTCATAACCATCTCTCATAGCGCTAGAAATCGAAATTAAATTCCTTCCAACGGAAGGTACATATAATGTGTCTTTTAAAGCTAAAACTCTACCACTACCAAATGAAATACTAATATTTCCTAATGCTAAAGCTGGGGACGCCAAACCATCTGCTTGATAAACATTGATTTCTCCTCTACTTAGCCGCCGCGTTACCTGAACCCCCTGCAAATAAGTGCAGACATGATTAGTGGCTCGCGAATCTACACTCCATGACATGGTAGAAACAACCGCTAAAAGAGTTTCAACGAAAAGTAGATGTAAATCACTTGGTTTATTTTTCAGCTCAGTTAGATAAGTCGGACACTGCTTCTTATGATGCCCAGGCTGCTTGCAGTGATAACACTTGCCCTTAGCCTTTTTCACACCAATAGTTGCGCCACCAACAGAGGGTTTTTGAGTCTTTTTCTTCTTCTGACCGTCTCTCAGCTTAGAAGAAGAACCGGCCTCAAAATTCAATGCCACAGGAGGAGCTTGTTGCTTGATAATAGTCTCTACCGACTGCAGCTCATTCAACAATTTCGCAAGTGACAAATCCATTTTGTTCATGTTATAATTCAGGCGAAACTGCTGAAAACTGTCAGGCATAGTCTGCAGGATCATTTCAACCTGCGTATCCTTATCAATGTTAGCTCCAAGGACCTCCAGTTCATTCAAAAGACTCATCATCTTCAGAACATGGTCCCTAACCGATAAACCTTTAACCATTTTTGTATTCAGAAGAGCTTTCATGGCAGTCTGCTTAGCCGCACGATTCTGATCTCCAAACATTTCTTTGAGATTTTTCAGAATGTCATAAGCAGACTCCATTGACTGATGCTGATGTTGCAGAACATTTGACATAGATGCCAGAATGTAATACTGCGCCATCTCATCAGCCTTGACCCATTTCTGGTAGGCCTTTTGTTCATCATCCGTAGCATCATCTCTAGGTTTTTTTGGACACACCTCATCGAGCACAAATTTGTACTCTTCAGCAATTAGGACAATGTCCAAGTTTCGTTTCCAATCAACAAAATTCGGACCCTCAAGTTTGTTTTGAGTAAGAATAGTAGTAAGGGGATTGAAAGCAGTCATTGTTAATTTGGGAGTTAATTATTAAATAGATTAAAATCAGTCATGTATTATTTGAATATTAAAATTCAAAACACACTACATATATATAATCTATGCACCTTGAACAACAAATTTCGATGGAAAAAAAGCTATTTTTGCAATATACATATATAATGACAGATTATTCACTCCATGAATTTAGACAGGCCATACTCAGATGGAGAGTAAACTGTTAATTTAAGTCAAGTGAATATCAACATTCAATATATATACTAGTCCCATTGAACCAATATGCATACTCAGATGGAGAGTAAATACAAGTCATCAACAACCAGTATAACCTAGTGATTATCCATAATGAGTTTATCCGATATGGAAGAAGACCTACGTCAACGTGTAAAAATATTATATCACTAGAACTTAACTCTGGAGTCCATAGGAAGTGATCCCTACCACCACTGGATTAAAAACAACTCAAAAATGTTTTTGAAAAATTTCTAGAAAATTAAAAAACGTCCAAACCACCATCTAAACGACCCTGAAAGCCCAAAAAATGGCTTACATTATGAGAAAAGCTGGTGAGTATTGCTCACTGGGCCATTTCGCATGGACCTGCCAAGTTTCAGGTCAATCGGAGTCCGTCAACATGTTGACCTCCGATTTTCTGGCCAATTCGGCCAAATAGTGACTTTTGCATTTTTCATGGATTAATGTAATTTTCAAATTATTCTAATCAGATATCATCAACTATAAGCAGATATTACACGATATTAAGAATGATCATAACACTCAGAACAAATATTCATGTTAAAAACAATGTTGTTTTACAAAATTCAAAACAATCTTTGCATGTAATTCAAAACTTGCATATTAACATGATACTAATTTTTATTGTTCATCCTAATCATTTAATTAGACGTGAGTTGGCTCTAATACCAATTGTTGGATTATATATCGCAGGGGAAGCAATCACAGTATCATATTAACGTGTAACTTAAACAATTGGCACATACGGAGATTATTCGAGTTACCTCTTGAAGCATGAACAAAGCAAATCAATCTCCGTCTCCAGTTTCCGAGTTGCAAGACTATGACCTCAGCAAAAATTTCCACAGTCTTCTACTGTGTTACCCAAATAATATCCGGAAAAAAAGAATTTCGGGTGGGTAAAATTCAAGGAAGAAAACGTGTAGAACCAGTGCAAAAAAAAAAAAAACGGCCAGCCTATATCTCATAAATATAGCCCCGTCTTTTTAGGTTAAAATCCTTTTCCAAAACCTATTAGGTTTTCTTCTTCCACTAAGGAAAGGTTTCCTTTATTTCCTATTATTTAGGCACAATATGGACCACAAAATTTAATTAACAAAGCTTCCTATTATGGAATTAATTTTGAAATTTTGAAATTAATTTCTACCATAATAAATTTCGAATTATTCCACTAAAAATTCGTAATTGCACTCCTTAGTTCAATTTCGAAATTCTTCCACTAAACCTTATTTAACTCCCCGTGTTAAGATTCGGATACTAACCAATCAAATGAAATTACTGACAATTTAATTTATTGATTTCTTCCTTTAGACTTTCGCTTAACTTATTTCATGTGTCGGATACAAAATCCACTGGCCGGGTTTACACATGAAAACTTATAAGCTTTCATAAAGGAGTATCATCAATCTGAAAAACTGAGACATGGATTCTATCAACTAATTATTACTTCGCCAATGTATATCATTATTGTTCAATTTATCAGGCTTATTGACCCACGAAAGAATCTCACCTTTTAATAAATCAAAACAATAAATGACATACACAACTAATAATAATTATATCAAGATTAAGAGTATAAGTACATTGAATGGACTAGAGAAATTATTTTACTAAGTCAGTATAAAATACATATCTCTACTTTATCCGCTCAATACATACAAAATGTACTAGCACAAGAAGTTGGAATTAAACCATTCCCATAATCAAGATAAATTATATTTAATCTTGTGCTACAACCATTCCGATGGTTCGTCCAATTCTATCATTAGATTGTGAACATAAACTTTATGACTTATAAGAACCGATGATTTAATCTTCCGTGTATAAGCTAAACTCTATACACTAAATCATCTACTATATAAGTAGCGGACACACAAACAAATACATGATCTATTTAAAATAAAACTTTATTGAATTGAATAAATAAATAAACAACTGTTCCATAAAGAATACTATAACAATACACATAGTTTATAGTATATCCTAACACTAAAATCTTGGAACAAGCTCATTGATGATACTGTCTCAAATGTTCTTTGAAAGTAATTTCTTATTTGAACTTCAATTGGTTGCAACAAGTCCATGAACCTTTATGTGATATTCCAATCATGGCAATTAGGTAGAATATTAGTACTAAATAATCTCTAATATTGTCCCCTAAAATCTTGGAACAAGCTCAATGATGATACCTCCGTTCACTTTTAGTTGTCCACTTTGACTTTACACGCTCCTTAAGAAATAATAATTGTAGTATATATTTTACCATATAACCCCTAATAATGATAGCATTCCAAAAGTTTTGAGAAATAATTTGGGGAATGAATAATTAATGATAAGGTAAAATAGAAAGAAAAAAAAAAAGATTGTCTTTCTCTTGATTTGCTAAAATGGACAAGCAAAAGGAAAAATATATTTTTGGTATAGTGGACAAGTAAAAGTGAAGGGAGGGAGTAATTTAATTTTTGGAGCAAAACTAATACTACTGCTAATTCTTTTTCTTTTAACCTCACCCTTACTCTATTGAGATTAATCGAGTATTATCAATTGTAGTGGTATAGTTATTTATGTCATGTTGTTGTTAGTTAATGGTTAGACTTAAGAAGTTATTAGTTGAGTTAGTTATAGGGGTATTTTTGTAATTAGCATTTTACTCTTTTCTTCTCACGTGTATAAAGCTTAACTCTAATGAATAGAAGGTTAAGATCTTTTTCCCCAATTTCATTCTGTCCAGAAGCTTCTCTCATGAGAGCTCAAGCTTAACCTCTTTCAATGGAGGTCAATTCATCCGTTTAATCTCAATTTTGACATGGTATCAGAGCTAAGCTCGATTCTCACATCAACGCTTCTTTCTCCTCGTCAAATTTCATCATTCAATTTCAACTTTTCAATTTTACAAAATCAATATCTGCACAGTTCGTTGCTAGGGTTTGAAGTTTCTCGATTCTTCTCTCCAGATTTAGAGCTTATTTCAACTAATTTTCTAAGATTGATCTTCAATCGATGGCCGGAGACAATGAAAATAAGAATACGACCAATAATTTGGACTCGACCAATCTGCTGTACATGCACCTGTCGGAGAGTGCCGGAACGACTTTGGTACCTGTTGCCTTTGATGGAACCGGGTACAGATCATGGAGAAAAGGAGTTCTCAGAGCACTATCCGTGAAAAATAAGGTTGGATTCATCACCGGAAAATGTAAGAAACCTAACTCTGATGATGTGACTTATGATCAGTAGGCTCGATGCGATGACATGGTGACCTCGTGGATTTTGAACTCACTTTCAAAGGACTTAGCTGATAGTCTACAATATGTCAGTGATGCTAAGGAATTATGGCAAGAGCTGGAAGATAGATACGATCAAACCAATGGAGCAAAACTGTATCAACTACAGAAGGAAATAAACAACCTTAGCTAGGGAACTTTGGATATCACAGGCTACTACACGAAAATGAAAAGACTTTGGGAGGTGTCAGTGTACCTGTGGTGCAAAGGCTAATATGCACAAGTCTGAGCAAGATCAGAGGCTAATTCAGTTCCTGATGCGCTTAAATGAAGTTTACACAGTGGTGAGAGCAGCATACTCATGATGAATCCACTGCCCAGCATAACACAAGCCTTTTCCATCCTTATTCAAGAAGAAAAGCAGAGAGAAGTGAGGCCAAGTAACAAACTGGTTATGGAGTCCACTTCATTGAATGTAAATGGGCCTGGGAATAACAAGTTCAGGACAAACTACAATCCAAAAGGAAATAATAATAACTCGTACAATCCAAACAAGCAAGGGTATCCACCTGCCAAGTCTCGATTGTTCTGTGATTATTGCAAAAAGCCAGGCCACACTAGAGATAATTGCTATAGGATACATGATTTCCCACAGGATTTCAAGTTCACTAAGGGGAGAAATGCAGCATCTGCTACAAATGTTCACACAGAATGTGAAGAAGCCGAGGGTGGATCTCACAATCAAGAATTTCAGCACTTGACAAAGGACCAATACAATCAACTGCTTAGTCTATTGGAGAAATTTCCAGGGAGGAACACAGCAGAAGGCTCAAACAATATAGCATGTGGAGTTGCCAACTTTGCAGGTATTCTAGCTTGTTCTACTTGTAAAGAGATTGCTGAAACTACTATATGTAAATGCTCTAAATCAGTTGCTGACTTGTGGATATTAGATAGTGGAGCTTCAAATCATATGAACTATAGAAAATCTTTTCTGAAAAACATTAGAACCTTATCTTGTCCCTTTCTAGTTATACTACCTAATGGATATAGGGTGAAAGTGACAGAAATTGGAGATGCATTTCTTGGTCCAATGTTAACTCTAGTCAAAGTGTTGTATGTACCTAGTTTCAAATGCAACCTCATCTCTATTCATTCTTTAACAGACTATCTTGATTGCATAGTTAATTTCAGCAAATATCTTTGCATGATGCAGGGCCCTTCAATGAAGAGGCCTCTGGAGATTGGTAAAGCAAGGAGTGGTTTGTACTTCTTATGCTCAAAGTGTCATAGTAGTCCATCTTCTATCCCTTCTACTTTTTACTCCCATTCTTGTTTTCCTGCATCAGTTGATGTTGTAAATAGAGGAGAGAGTCACAGTCTGCCTTTACACTCATCATCAATTGTAAATAGGTCACTACATTCACTCAATAATGTAAATAACCTTCAGTCAAGAAATAAAACTGACTCTCCTTTTGGTATACATTTTTTCTTGTCATCTATTGCATCTTATGGGAACATTGTTGAACATCTTTGGCATAATAGACTTGGCCATGTACCCTTTGTGAAGATGAAAAGAATATCTACCATACCAGTTAATTTCTCCCCCAAATAGCCTTTTCTCTGTTCTATCTGCCCCATGGCAAGGCAGACAAGACTGCCATTTCCCCAGAAAACCTCATCTACCACCAAAATTTTTGAATTACTGCACATAGATTTATGGGGTCCCTATCATATAGCCACACATGACAACTACAAATATTTCCTTACCATGATTGATGATTTTAGCAGATCAACCTGGACACATCTCTTGAGCAGTAAAAGCAACACTCTTCAAGCCATTAAAGCCCTCATCTCTATGATTGAAAACCCGTTCAACTCTTTAGTTAAAGTTGTTAGAACTGATAATGGGTTGGAATTTGTAAATAGTGAAGCCATGTTGTTCTTCCAAGACAAAGGCATAATTCACCAGAAAACCTGCCCATATACACCACAATAGAATGGTGTGGTAGAAAGAAAACACAAATATCTTCTAGAAATTGCAAGGGCCCTACTCTATCAATCCAAATTACCAATGAAATATTGGGGGGAGTGTATCCTTACTGCCACTTACTTGATAAACAGACTACCCTCTACTGTCCTTAATGATAAATGCCCTTTTGAACTTCTCTACAATAGAAAACCAATTTACTCACACCTTAAGAGCTTTGGCTGCTTATGCTACACTACCACATTTAAGACACACAAAGATAAATTTGAACCAAAGGCTACTCCCCATGTTTTTGTAGGGTATCCCTTTGGGGTAAAAGGTTATAAAGTTCTGGATCTAGCCACAAGGAGGGTACATGTATATAGAGATGTTCTGTTCCATGAAGATGTATTCCCTTTTGCTATTTCACCTGAAAACTCTTCATTTCCCTCTATTTTGCATATGATAAATTCTAATTCTTCATGTCCAAACACCATTGTGAATGATCTTGCTGATCATTGTATTGTTGACAGAGATGCATCAGCTTCTGCCACTAGTAGTCCTATATCTGATAGCAGTCCCCAGTCACAAATACATCACCAAACCATCCAAGTCTTGTAAGCCTGCATAACCATGACTCAGAACAGAATCCAAATTCAGACAACAGAACTCACATTCATAGCCCTATACCTAGAGATCATTCAGAAACACAACAAATACATCATATAAGACTTGACAATAACCAACCTAATCTTATGCAACATAGAAGATCATGCAGAACACTCATCGCTCCTTCTCATCTTAAGGACTATGTCTGCACACTACCAAACCTACAATCACACAACCACTCAAACAATGATGTAAACCTTGAACATCAACCAGTTCATTCCACATCCACTTCACTCACTGCCCTTTTTACTAACAGTCAGTCTGTGTCCTTCAATGTTCTAAGCCATGATAGTCAGCAGCTGGTAAAGAGTATTTCACATGAGTGTGAACCAAACTCTTATGAGGGGGTAGCTATGAATCCGGCCTGGCAGGCAGCAATGACACAAGAGTTTGAAGCTTTATATACTAATCATACTTGGGATTTAGTTAATTTGCCTGCAGGAAAGAGAGCTATAGGGTACAAGTGGGTGTACAAAATCAAACACAAAGNTCATAATGTCTCGTACAAGTAGTGATGATGAACAAAGGGTTATTCAAGAAGCCGAAATTAAAGGAAGGAATGATTTCACCTTGCAAGCTATGCACCAACAATTTGAAAGGTGGAATTTGCAATTCCAAGAGATGAGGGGCACCATTGCTGAGCAAAATATTACAATAGCTGAACTTAGGAGGGGAAATAACGCTAGACTCCAAGCTAGGAGAAATGTACCAGCTCCCATTGTAAATCAGGAAAACCCTATCGATGATTTTAATGATGATATTGATTTTGATAGGGTAGGAAGAGATAGGAGGGGACAAATAGGAAGACTAGAAGATGATAATATAAGTAGTATAAAGATGAAGATGCCATCTTTCAAGGGAACAAGGGATCCAGACTTGTACATTGATTGGGAGAGAAAAGTGGAAGCCATCTTTGATTGCCACAACTATTCGGAGGGTAAAAAGGTTAAACTTGCTGCTGTTGAGTTTTCTAACTATGCAGCAATCTGGTGAAAAAAGCTTTCTAGGAACAGATTGCGAGAAGGACAAGCACTCGTTACTACGTGGGCTGAGATGAAGGGGTAATGAGGAAGATATTTTTGCCATCACACTTTCAAAGAGATCTACAACAACGTCTTCAAACTTTGAGGCAAGGGTCTATGTCCGTAGATGCCAGCAATGACACAGAGTTTGAAGCTTTATATACTAATCATACTTGGGATTTAGTTAATTTGCCTGCAGGAAAGAGAGCTATAGGGTACAAGTGGGTGTACAAAATCAAACACAAAGCAGATGGAAGTGTGGAAAGATACAAGGCAAGGCTTGTGATAAAAGGATACACTCAGGAAGCTGGAGTTGATTACATAGAGACCTTTTCTCCAGTAGTGAAGATGACTACTATCAGGACCTTGATCAGCATTGTAGTAAAGAAAGGATGGGATCTCTATCAACTGGATGTGAACAATGCTTTCCCCCATGGAGATCTACATGAGAAAGTATATAGGATGTCCCACAAGGTCTGATGGTGGAGGATAAATCACTTGTATGCAGACTAAGGAAGTCCTTATATTGACTCATACAAGCCAGTAGTCAATGGTATGACAAACTGACAGAATCTTTGCAGTCCAGGGGTTCAGGCACTCAGCAAATGACTATTCTTTATTTTTCAAGAAACAAGGTGATCAACCAATTTTTGTGGCAATATGTTGATGATGTGATTCTTACTGGGACTGATCTTGAAGAAATCATAGCACTGAAGGCATTTTTGCACAATCAGTTTAAAATAAAGGACTTAGGAAAGTTGCACTACTTCTTGGGCTTAGAGATACTTTACAAAAATGATGGAGTACTGATCTCTTAGAGAAAATTCACCACTGATTTGTTAAAGGAATATGACTGCTTGGGGTATTCTCCTGTGTACTCTCCACTTGACTCATCAACCAAACTCAAAGCTGAAGAAGGTGCTTTGTTGGCTGATCCATCATATTACAGGAAGCTGAATGGGAAGCTCAATTTCCTGACAAACACAAGATTAGATATTGCCTACAGTGTACAACACTTAAGCCAGTTTATGCAAACACTAAGAGAACCTCATCTCAAGGCTGCTATACATGTCCTTAGATACCTGAAGGCTGATCCTACCTTAGGGATTTTTCTGTCTAATGATCCTTCCTATGAAGTCACAGCCTACTGTGATTCAGATTGGGCTACATGCCCTGATTCCAGGAGATTTGTGAGTGGATATCTTGTGCTCCTTGGAAATAGTCCAATCAGTTGGAAATAAGAGAAGCAAACCACTGTCTCATTGTCCTTTGTAGAAGCAGAATACATGTCTTTGAGGAAGGTAGTTGGTGAGTGTGGGTCAAGCGCTTATTGGAAGAACTAACAGTCTTATGTGATACTCCCATCCCAGTCTTCTGTGATAGTCAGGATGCAGCGCACATAACTAAGAATCCTGGGTTCCATGAAAGAACAAAACATATAGAAGTAGAATGCCATTTTGTAAGAGACAGGCTCCAGGGGTCAAGCATTATGATTTTCTTGGCAAGTTGTCTGTGATTTCATCACCTCCAACTTGAGGGGGTGGGGGTATTGAGATTAATCGAGTATTATTAATTCTAGTGGTATAGTAATTTATGCCATGTTGTTGTTAGTTAGTGGTTAGACTTATGAAGTTATTAGTTGAGTTAGTTACAGGGGTATTTTTGTAATTAGCATTTTACTCTTTTCTTCTCACGTGTATAAAGCTTAACTTACTGAATAGAAGGTTAAGATCTTTTTTCCCAATTTCATTCTGTCTAGAAGCTTCTCTCATGAGAGCTCAAGCTCAACCTCTTTCAATGGGGGTCAATTCATCCGTTTAATCTCAATTTCGACATACTCAAAAGGATCATAGTGCTTTTGCTAAACCTCATGTGACTTAAAACTGACCTACTAGTTGGATTTGTTAGAGTTTTCAACATTGGTTGAAGGAATGAGATGCGTAGTCTCTTTATGAGGTATTAGGCAATCTTCACATCCGATCTTGAATTAGATTTTGGAGTTAAGGCGCATACATTTTCTTTGCATGTTATGAAAATCATATGTATCCAATCGTTTGCTTATCCAATATTAGGCCTCATTTAAAAGATGGTATTATCTACCAACCAACCCTTCCATCAATTGTCTAACAAAGCTAAGCAGTTAGATAGATGGCAACTTCCTACCCATTAGGAATAGGTAAGACAAAATTAAACTAATTTTTTGTTAGTTGAATTAATGTATGGAGGGAGGGAGTTGTAATTTGTAAGATTTTTGTCCATATGAATTCCCTCTCTATAATTTTTTGTATTTATTATTTTGATAATCAGTTTTGTAATTTGAGCTTAGGCCTAAGCACCCCTCTTTGTGCTGCAGATTTATATACAACACAATCTAGAATGCTTATTGGGTCAAACTTATAAATAAAATAAAATGTCAAAATTTGCCATGAACCAGACGATGGAGAATAACTGTCCCACATTCTTCAAATTCTCTCGAGAAAACAGTAAAATGGATGCTCCATTTGTTTGTGACAGTAGTTGTACACTTGTGCTCCTCAAGTTTAGGAAAAAAAAATAGTGACGTCTTTGTCACAGGGAAAAGAATTGAAGGTGGGAGAAAAGAATTGTTACATCAACCATGCATATACAAAAAGCAAGGCAAGTTGATATAAATATAGAATTGGTTGTATTACACTTTTTATTTTGAACGTTTTAAATTACTTAATATTATTCTATTTCAGATATAATTTTTACAACTTAATTCGACTTCATTTGCTCTTAAATTTTTTTACTTTGAAATGATATTTTCTCAATCAAACTAATTATTCAATCATCTTTATATTTTCGTCTATTATCACTAAAATTGATAAATCTAAGCTAACATCTTAAACTGCATGTACAGTCAAATATCATCACATATGAGGATATTGAGTTTGATTATGTAATGAAATGGTATCTTATTTTCACAAATAGTACTTCACGGATGGTACTTCGAATGGAACGAGCATAAATAGATTAACAATACTTTTTTATTTTTTCAGTTATTCCATCAAATATATCACATAGGATCTTTGGTCTTTGCTCGAACAGATGAAAAGATGAGATCACTTCTATTTAGACCAATCTAGCACGTCTCTCCATTTGGACGAAGATGAACCTTTTTGACGAGCCTAACTTTCGGACAATGTTTCATTTGAACAATAATAGAAGCCCTTGGAGAAATTGTTTGTGGTTCCACTAGTTGGATATGATAATTTTATATGATAGTGGTTGCCACCATTTTCAGTTGAATGAACGTCATTTCCTTCCCTAAACAAGTCCTTGCCACCATTTTATATGCTAAGAGTTTCACACAATGCACCATGTAGATAGACCAGTTTTCGTGTTTCTTCTATATTGAAATACTTGAGGTTTTCATCTTCTTTTAGATGCAATTGTTGTTGAATCTCTTCCCTAATCTTTATCTCTACTAAGGGATTTTTAGGTACGAGCCAGAAAAACCAAGTGAGAGTTGCACTTGTGGTGTCTCTCCAAGCAAACATCAAATTCACAAAAGTGTCCCTCAAAAATTCTTGTACATTGCCTGAAATTATAGTCTTCCATTAATTATATGCTTTAACATAGACACTTAACTTGTTAAAGTCCTCGTCTTTGAATGGTTCGTTCATCATCTCCTCTTGCTTACTTGAAATGCAAGGATATAGAAATTGATCAATAGCTTTCCATGCTTGAACAAGTTTCTTCTCTTTACTAATGTGAAGCCAATTTTGCAATTTTCAATAACTTTCTGGTAAGATATGTCTATATAAAAGTGAAACCACAATGTCGTTGAAAGCCTTTTCGCATGGAACATGAAGTAAACCAATGGACAAACTTGTCGAATCATGATCAAGTAACAACTTGGTAATAGAATCAAAAGTGAATCTTTGAAAAATTTCTTGCAAATCAAAT